CTCTTCTTCTTTCTTCTTTGTATTCATGTATCTTGTAAGGTTCTGGATCCTCACGGTCTCGTTTGCCTGGGATCCGCGTTCATTCTTCGGAATATCTTGATTTCAGTATGGTCGGACGTGACTTAAAGCTCCGGATGCCAGGACACTCATCAATGATTGCGGCTCTTCACGATCTTCGGATCTGGAATCAGCAGCACGGTCGACGCTTCGGGCCGGTATGCGCGCAGAAGACATCAAGTTCACAGTCTTCCAGGCGCCCAACGGACTCTCGGAGTACCTGGTGCTGACAATAGGTGTTTGCAACGCACCGACGACGATGTATTGATTGACGTCGAAACGTTTCGCGGTCTAGAGAACACGAAGTTGTTCTACGATGACATCTACATCTTCACAAATTCGCCGAAGATTGAAGATCACTTGGAAGCTCTACGCAAAACATTGGACATCTTGAGAGACAAAAAGTTATTCGTAAAGCTGTCCAAGTGCGTTTTCTGTGCCGACGAGATTCCATGTCTTCAAGATTTTGTTGGAAGAAACGGCGTGCGGATGGATCACGATAAGGTGCAGACCGTCAATGACTGGCCGATTCCAAGAACGCAAGAGGGGCTTCACAGCTTTCTCGGTTTAACCGAATACATCCAGCGATTCTGCCCTGACTGCACGAAGCTGACAGCAAGTATCTTTACTTTACTCAAGAAGAAGTCCAAGCGCAATGCAAAGGTTCATTTTGACGAAGAGCAGTCCAAGAACTTCAATGAACTGAAGAGACGGCTGTGCAATCCACCACTGTTGCACTTGCCCGACTTCAATCAACCTATGCACTTACGTTCGGACGCTAGCAAATTTGCAGTCGGAGGGGCCCTGCTCCAAGTTGTCGATGATGTCGTGCTACCCATTGTTACACCAGTAGGAAGATGAAATCCACGGAACTCAACTATCCGACGCAGCAGCAAGAACGTCTGGTAATTGTTCACGCACTAACGGCTTTCCAGATTTACTGCTTGGACAAGCCACCAATCGTGGAGACGGATCACCAGAGTCTTGAAGATCTCTTTACTCAGAAAATGGCGAATCGACGTCTCGCGCCCTGGTATGATATCCTTGCGGAGTACCAACTAACGTTCTCATACCTTCCAGGTGCGAAGAACGGGATCGCAGACGCGCTTAGCCGAATACCAGACTTGCAACCGGAGACGAAGTACTTTCATGACTTGAGTGTGACCAGCTTCAATGATGCGTCTTTCCGTTTGGCGGTCAGCGAGGTGGCCACAGACAGCAAGTTACGGGAGTTAAAAAAAGGACTGGCAACTCGATTTCAAAGAGTATGCCGAAGTGGCTTCATGCGTGTTTGGTGTCGCTAGGATCAGCTAGATGTGG